GTGCTAAGAGAAGCACCACAGACACTCTTAGATAAAATCCTGAGAATTTACCACATCTATTCTCAAGGTTGGATGCTTTTGTTCCACTAAGACAAGGACAAAGCATTGATATTAAGTTAAGACACGTTAACTTGTAGACTCTTAGCACCATTTCAGACAATTACCTATTCACTGTGTTACTGCAGGGTTAGAAATTTGGTACCTTGCACAAATTTTTTTTGGGGGGGAGTGGGGGGAACATATCTGGCAGTGCTTTGGACTTATTCCTGACTGGGCAAGGATGGGGACGCTGGGGATTAAACCCAGGTTGGCCACGTGCAAGACAGTCCACATACTACCACTCCAGTCCCTAGAGACTTTATTTTATTGGCAAATAAATTGGGTTAGCTAAGAAGAAAGTAGATGGAGCTGAGTAAAAGGGACTCAGTTCTGACATAAAATTCCCTTTGGGAGTTTTCTATTTCATAGCTGCACTTTGAAAAGGGTCTAATTCCTGGTGGGCACTGCTGAGAGGTAATCCAGCCTCACTCCCACCTCCACTGCAAGAATGCAGAAGAGAATAAGGTGCTTTGTACACAACTTAAACCTCAAGACACTGGAATAGACAAAGCTTTTAGGGTCTTATTTTGTCTCTTGTATTGATACTCTGGAGGACCAATATGGGGAAACAGCAGGGGGCAAAGTGCATGTAAGGACACGGGGTTCTCCTGGGCTAGACTCAGGTCCACCATTCCCATCTTTACCAGGGCCAGTGGCAGGCTGACTATTGGCCAGGGGAACCTTCCTTCACTCTGAAAGACTAGGTCAGCCTGGGAACAATCCCCTCTCCGGGCTCCAGGCTCACCCGACCAAGTCTGCAAGAGGAAGCAGAGGGTGGTTTTGGGGTCACAAGCACCTGGATCTTGAAGCTGGTGCAACAATGCAAAACTGGCTTTTGGGGGGCACAAGGGGTTCCCAAGTTCTTTGCATTCAAAGCAAGAAAGAATCGGTCAGCACAGTAATAAGTTTCCCCTTATTCCTGAGATTGTTTGTATGGGCACCAGCCTGCAAGTCTCAGGGCTCATACCAGCTCTGTGCTCAGGATCACTCCTGCTGGTGCTCCAGGGACTATATGGGATGCCAAGATCGAAACTGGGCTTAATGTGTGCTAGGTAAGGTCCTGACCACTGTACAGTTTCTCCAGCACTCCCTAGTTCTGCTTCCATCAGGGACAGTCTGCAGAACTGTGCCCCACCTCAAGACGCGGCCCAGGACTGGAGTCAGACACAGAGACTGAAGTTTCACTGGGTTAATACCTTCCTATTCATCCCTTTTCTTTTGTAAAACTACCCCTACTTCCAAGGAATTTACATTCTTGAATAGTATCTTCTGTCCCTCCCCACCAACCACTTCCCCGCCCCCCCCCCCCCCCCCCCCATGTAACCCGCACCAGGCACCTGGATGTACACCCTCTTCCACTGAGTCACACCCCAGGGCCTCTTCCTTCTTTCACAACAGTCAGAAAGGTGCCCTGAGGCTCCATCCAGCACCACTCAGACCCCTTGAAGCACTGCCAGGTGTGGCCTTTTTTTTTTTTTTTTAAAGACAGGGATCCCAGGTGCAATATATTGAGTACTCAATTGGTTATAAATGCCCTATAAGGCAATTTCAAAGTAGTGTCGAAACTAGCTTGATTCACTACTGCACTGAATCCCACTCAAGAACTGTGCTAAAGGGCTTAAGAACAAGTCATATTTTATTTAGAATAGATTATGACCACAAGGTTACAGAGTAGTAAATTCACAGTAGTGATCTATTTACTTTTTTTGTAACAAAATCCAAAAAGTACAAAAACTACCCAGAAATACTTACATCACTTTACAGTTGCAGGGTCTCTGCTGCAGGACTATTTAAATATTATGTTAACATTTCTAAATCAATTTTTTAAATGAAGCCCAATGGTGAGGTGGTGTCTGGAAATACAAAATAAGGCTTCAGGATAGTGGAATTGGGGCAGTTGGTATAGGGCCTGACCTTCCCTTCCATTCACGCTGTTTGTGGGTTAGAGGGGACTGTCCTGAGGCAAGAAAAGCACCTTATAGGCTTCTCTGCAGGACAGCAGATCCTCTACCAGATACTTCCAGGCTAAAGTCAATTAGTCCCAGGGAGGAGCCAGTGCAATGTAGGGGAAGAAGGAATAAATGAGGGGAGGAGATGTAATTAAAGGGACTGCGCAAGAGACAGGTGCAATTAAGAAATCATTCAACCCACTGGCCTGCATGGGAACACACACACACTCACCCACCTAAACATACATAAGTTACCTGCAGAGAAACAGACACTTCTGCTACAGGAAGAGACAGTCAAGGAACCAAAGCTGCTTTGCCCCTCAACGCACCCAGTAATGTACATTCAACCAAACAGATGTGGAGCCGCACAGCCCACAAGCTGTGGCCCTGCTTAGGAAGCCTCAGACGGCAGCTCAGAGGGAAGAGATGAAAGCAGGGATTCAATTTTGTTGCTTCAGGAGGCGGCTGGAGTGCTCAAGCTCCCAGCATAGGGAGAGACAGATAATCCATTTCTATCAGTTCCATGGGCTCGCCACAGGGTTGCAGCCAACAACAAGGCAAAGTGTTTCATCTCCAGAGGGAAACGCAAGGAAGGGTGATGAATGGGGATGTGGGCGCCTGCTCCATCCCCACCCCGCAGCACCAGCAACAAGCCACAGACTGGCACACACAACACAAAAGCTCATGCCACCTCTCTCCAGCCATCTGTAATCCAGAATTTTACTTGAGAAAGTATAGAAAGAGAGGAAAGGAAAGTGATGCAAACTGGGGAGCGGGTGGGGGATGACTGATCAAGCATTTCTCTAGGCCTTTTGGGAGACTTCAGCACAGTGTTACGTATTTTGACTTATGATAAGGCAAAGGCTTCATGAGCCATAGAATGTTTTCGAACTTCATGAATGCAGATTTGACAGCACTGGGGATCGAACCCAGGGCCCCAGACATGCAAAGCAAGCACTCTACAGCTAAACTGCAGCCCGGTGGATGCAGAATTTGAATTCAGTTCCGAGAAGATTAAAACGTTCTGGTATTGAAGAGTACACATTGGAAAACAAAAGCCTTTCACTGGTTAAAGCACCACTGGGAAAGAGAACAAGTTCCGGACACGTGTTCTCTATCAAGGTCTCCAATCCTTTAATGGTCACATCTTAGTAACGTGGACTGAAAGTTATAGAAAATCTATAAACTTTTAAGGCAAAAGAAATCCAGCCTATTGTGAATTTACTATATGATCTATAAGCCGTAGGCAGTTTACCCTTTAAAAAGAATAACCTACTGGCTCCCAGAACGGAAATAAAAATGCATTGTGTCTGACTGCATGATGCAGCTTTCTGAAACCTCAGTGTTGTTAATGTCGTTTACTTTGTTCCCACTGCAGCAGTAACTCAAGCCAGCAAAGTCTAAAAGTGCAAAGGCTTTCCACAAAAACCCTGCGTCTCATTTTGTTATTTCTTAAAAAAAAAAAAAAAAAACACTCAATACGAAGTCAGTGGGGGGGGGGCGGGAAATCGTATTCAATTTAAAACAGAGACAATAATTTCAGAAAGTCAGACATTCTCCTGTGCAAAAACTGGGAGTGGAAAGAAATGGTTAGCAAAAGAACAAATTCTTAACCTGAACCTTTTGCAGTCCTGCTGGGAAAGCACATGCCCAAGCAGTAAGTCCCACTCACCCTCTTCTGGACTGGAGTTGGAAGTGTCTGAGAATACTGCTAACTCTCCAGTCTGAGCCTCCAACTGCTGTACAGTAGTCTCTGAGACCTCTTGCCTGGGACACTGCAACCTTCACACACAAAGCTTCATACACAACCACCATCCCTTGCCCTACCTCCCAAAGTAAATTTCCTGAGGAAAAAAAAATCATACTAAGGAATGTCCAGTTTTAAGAGACCTAACAGCAAAAACTAAGACTGGTCGCACCATGGTTTCGTCCTATGTGCTTCTTGTAATGGAACCGTGCAGAAGGACATCCTGGCGCCACTGTACAGGAACTTGTTACTTCATTCTCCTCTTCTGACACATCTTTTTGAGCTGACGGCTGTTTACTCAAGAGTGGTGTTTACTGTTCAGATACCAATGTCCACAGTCAGTTAAGATTTCAGAAAGGAGGAACCTGTACCCCTGCAGCCTGCTTCTGATCTGGTCACCTGCACACACAGCTTGCCTACAATCACACACGCAGTGCTTCGATACTCTGCTCCTTCACCCAAGCTAGAGAACTGAAATCCCATAGGAAGCGAGTGACGACTCCAAAGGCTGTGGACACAGAGAGGCAAATAAAGGCACAAATGGTCCCTGCAGGTGCCTGGGTATGGATCTGTAACTGCCACACTGGGGCTGGGCGGTGACATGTCAGCTCCTCCCCACTCAGCTTGGTGCAGCCCTGTTCTGCTGTGGTGAGCCCACCCAAATGAGCCACCAGTAAGAAACTCACCCAGATGAAGCCTCCTGGACCCCAAGACTGGCTCTCTACCTTCTAGTCTCCCAATGTTGCAGTTCAGCCTTTTCCTGTTTCTTCATTTTAACAACTATGAGACATTTCAACCCTAAGGGCTCGGCGAGCCGCATCTCTGCTTCTAAGCGGCAGACGTGATGAGTGGCACAGTGATTGTGGTCTGAAAACCCAGGGACCGACAACAGCTGCATCGCAATGGGCAGAGTTTGGCCTGCTGTGGCAAGCCATGTGGTTTTTATCTCTGGGAAAGCACATGACACCACCCTGAGCCCACCAATCCCAGGGGCAAGGGCCAGGCTTTCCCTGGTGGTGCATGCAAGCTGTGAGGGGCCATCCTAACAGGTCTGCAGGGCCCTGCTGAAGGGCTCCTCATGGCCAAACTGTGGCTTGCAGAACATGTCCCAGGTGGCTCTGTGGCCTGGGCTCTCCACAGTGCCACCCAGGGGGGACACTGTGACACCGGTGGGCAGTCTGAGGAGGGGACCATCCACAGCAGGCCAGTGGGGAAGCAGACCAGAACCAGGGCAGGTGGTTTTTCTCTTTGGGAAAAAATAAAACAGAATCATTAAGAGCCTTAAACGGCCAGTGCCCACTGGCTGTAATTTTTCTCTGAAGAACGTAAGGCAACAAAGAACAAAGAGGAAGGCAGGCATCTCCTGGATGGCCCATGGCTCTGTGGGGGACATTATGCCGGACAATAACAGACACAGAGACATATGCAGACATGTCATGTCTGGTTCCTGAAACACAAGAAAGATGTGTCCCCTACAAGTCTCGAGTGGACGGGCAGCCGCAGAGGACACGGTGGAACAAAGGCGGGTGGAAGGCGAGGTTCCGAGGAGCAGCAATTCCGCTTTGGTTACAGCTGTCACAGACGTGCCAGGGAACGGCTGCTGAGACGGCCTGTCCGTGCACGCCGACGGCATCAGTGCCTTCTTGGTCAGGGCGGGCAGCCCCTGCTTCCTTCCAAATAAAGTGCAGACGGGCAAAGGGTGCTGGTCTAGCATCCGCCAGTTGTAGTCAACAATGAAGAATTTAAAAAAAAAAAAGATGCCTCTCTGGTATACATATATATCTTTATATATTCTTTCCTTTTCCTTTTAATAAAACCACAAATATAAAACCTTAAACTGAAGTCTCGGACTGTAAGCGGAGGACAAATTTGTGAGACTTGGGGTCTATGAACTCCTCGGAGAGAACGATGAAGGGGATCTTCTTCACATTGACCACGAGGCTGAAGTCCAAGCACTTGAGGACAAACACGCTGCCGTTTCGCAGCCCGTTCGTCACAGCCTCGTCGCTGACGAGCCTCCACTGTGTGGATAGCCAGCGCTCCTTGTCATACTGCAGCGTGGGGCCTGCACTGAGGTAACGCTCGAGGAAGGCCTGAAGGCAGAAGAGAAAGGCATTAGGGAGGAGCATGCTCTTCGGGCTGTTCCTCTGATGACAGAACACTCCCCTAAGAAGCAGAGACAGACACCAGAGCCTGCTCGACAAGGATTCTCATCAGGCCCTCATGCAGAACTTGTGGGCCTGGAGACAAGGTTCCTGAACTTCAACCTTCCTCTGCCAACTCCCAACCTAAGGTAAGCCTGCATCAAGGCAAGGAAGAAGTGGGGGTCAGTCCCCATGATGGCCCTGAAGTCACGGCTCAGCCACCGGCCCTTTCACAGGTACTCCGCAGATAACATTCTGGAAGCAAGCAGAATAGTAAGGAAGAAAGTCATATACACAGAATGCCCCTCTGTCACCCCCTGCTGTGGGACTGGCCGCCATGCAGCTCCCTGAAGGTGGACACCACAGCGGGCCCCGCCATGCAGCTCCTTGTAGGTGGACACCACAGCGGCCCCACTATAGGGCTGGCTGGAGGGAGAGGCCGATTCTGACCGGCAGCACCAGCGGCAGCAATGCCGGAGCCCATGTCCACCCCACGCAGGAGCTCTTGTCTTGGGAGTGCTGAGCTCCTGGGGTACTCGGACACTTCCCAGCTCCCCTCCACAGGGCCTATTTCCCCTGCAAGATGTTCCCCTTCCTCCCAGCCCTCTACTCTTCCCAAACTGCTCCTTGCACCACTCAGACCGAGGGACTCAGCCCCCTCTCCTCTCCAGTTAGGCGCACATCAGGACTTGATGGGATATTTCACTTTCTCAATAATTACTGCTGACTCCCTACCTACCCCCTATTAGAACTGACTCTCGGGGGCAAGGAATACTGCTTTAATGGTGAATGTCCAGTGTATCTGGTACATACTAGGAATTCAACAGTACGTGTGATGAGTCAATACATATATTGGTTTAGCTCCACGAAGGATAGATGGGAGACAGTGATATACAGATGGACAATTCGAGGAGGTATCACTCAGGAACAGTGCCTATGTCCTTCACCTATGAGCAAAATGCAGAGCCAAGTCTCCAGTGCAAGATATACTTTAACGTAAACATCATTCCTATTAATTATAAGACACAAGAACTAGAGAAATTAAATATAATTTTTAGAATATGTATTCACTGGAAATCACATATGAAAAGTTATCCTATGCATAAATTAGTGTTTCCTTCATTGTTAATGTATAGGACAACTTTTCATATGTAATTTCCAGTGAATACATATTCTAAAAATTATATTTAATTTCTCTAGTTCTTGTATCTTGGATTAATAGTAATGAAGGAAACACTAATTAAAATGACAAATTGATTTCCATTTATTTATGCTGGCAATGATTAAGAGTAACACCTGTCAAATGTGGAGGGAAAGTCTCATATGCCTGAGGCAAGACTGTAAAATACTAACACTTCTTCTTTTTAGTATTATTATGTTTGTGGGCCACACTGGCTTACTCCTGGTTCTGCACTCAGGGATCACTTCTTGCAGGCTCGGAGAAACATATGGGGGTTGAACCTGGGTCAGTCACATGCAAGGTTAGTTGCGTATTTTCTCTTCAGCCCCAAAATATTAGCACCCCTTAGGAGGACAGTTGGGGCAAGATCTGTACTTTAGATTCAGATATTCATCTAGTAAAAACTTATCCTTCAGAAATACTTGCTCAAAGGCACAAAGACATATGTAAGAATGTTTACTGCTACAATATTTAGACTAAGGGTTGGCAAAGTTTTCTCTAAATGTAAATATTTTTGTCTTTGCAAGCCACACTCTGTCACAACGACTCAACTCTGCCAGTGTAGACAGAAGGCAGCCATAGATGAAATATAAATAAAAGGGCATAGCTGTGTTCCAGTAGTGATTAACAAAACCAGACACTCCCTGGTTGAGAATAATAAAAGATCTTAATCCAAATGCATATCAATAGGTGATCAGTTCAACATATCATGATGTTTGGGGAGGTTGGAACAAGAGGCAGCTTAAAAGAGGTAAGTTTGATCAGTCTGGCTGAGATCCAGAAGAGCTGAGATGGCAAGAGAGGCGAGAGGCAGTCTGCAGTGAACAAACTTCTTCACTATGGGACGTGCGCCATCCCATCTCTGTATTTGCCATTTTGTCTAAAACATAAATACACCTGGAGGCAAAAGCATGAATCGAAGACATCCTTCGTCCCCTCCCTGAAACAGCAACCTATCTGGCTGCTGGGAAATGAAGATTGCACCGGGCACATTCTACTTTAATTACTGAACCTTTACACCCTCCTCACCAAATCTCTTATTCTTAGTTCAGAAAAGTATATACCCACCACACTCCCTACCTCCCCACAGAGTTGTGAGGATGTTTTTGTTTGGTTGGCTTGGTTTCTATGCCTTCTAGATCTTGGTATAGTATACATTTTTTTAAAGGTAGGACAGCGGGCAGAGTTCTTGCATGAAGCTGACTCAATTTTAGTCTGTGGCACCCCATATGGTCCTCGAGACCACCAGGAGTGATCCCAGAGTGCAGATCCAGGAGTAAGCCCTAAGGATAGTCAAGGAAACCAAATAAATAAGTAAAATAAAGTAAGAAATAAAAAAAAAGTAACTTGAAAACTTTCAAATATCAAAAAAAGAGGAAAATTCTTGTGTTCTATATGGAAATACGTCAGTTTGCGTATGTAGACCCAATGTCTTCATATGCAACCCTGTATTCAAGTGCTGCACTGTAAGGTAACAAAGGTAACCAACCTCCCATGTTTAAATATGGGATGGCTCATATCTTAAAAGTTATTGTTCTATTTTAAAGTCATTTCCAGTTTGGATTAATTTCAGGTTGTCTGCCAAAAAAAACACTGATACGTAGATCTATGTATGTTTCAGATGCTACTGAATAATTTTCTGGTATGATTTCTTACAGAATAGTTATGAATTCCTTTCCTAACATTATTTTATTAGTTATAGATTACTATGGAGTAGCCAGCCCAGATAATGACCTTATCCCCACTGCCCTAATAAAGGTCATTCACTTTGGTTCTTATCACTATTTTATGCATCACTTATGAATATTCTCTTTCAGCTTCCATAGAAATGCCTGCAGTAAGGTAGGTATAAACATCATTTCTAATTTACAGATGAGGAAACTGAGGCACAGAGCCACTAAGCTGTCTGCTCGAGGTTGCGTCACATCCCCTGTTGGAAGAGTCAGCCCCAGCCCCGCAGGAACTACAGTATATCCCTAACTATGTTCCACTCTGTCTCTTGGAAAATGCGTTTCCTCCTTCTGCTTGCTCCAAGCCTTCAGAGGGGAAATTTGGAAGCCAGTGCACCAGAATCATAGAAGCAAGAACCATAAGGTTTGGTGACTAGTAGCCCTTTGATGTGATCACTCCGAGAGTGAGGGTGGTGGCAAGTGCACCTTTGGGGTCATGCTGTTGGTGATGCAGAAGGCCAGGTGCTGCAGAATGCTCTCCATGCTGTGGTAGTGCTGCTGCCTCGTGGTGCGCAGGTACTTCTGCAGGGCCCGGGCCATGGAGGGGAAGATGGCCTGTGCGGCCTCTCTGGGGTCCATCACCTCCCCGGGGGCTTTCTGCTGTTCCTCGGCCTGCAGACGCTGGATGTGGATGAAAGCCTCCTCCACCGCAACGACCAGCCTGGGGGCAAGGAAGCGGGAATGAGGCTGTACCTGCTGCAGGGCCAGGCCCTGGACTCCCCTCCCTTCACCGAGCACCTGCCTGGGCCAGCTCATGTCACCCAGGATAGGAGGGCAGTCAGGCAAGAGGGAAGCTGGGCAAAGGCAAAGCTGGCACGTGGCCCAGGGACAGGGAGGTAATGAAGGAGCAGGCTGGGTCCAGCAGCTGGCTCTCATTCCCATCTCAGCACTCGACAAGTGCACTGCTGAGACCCACCTTGCACTCCATCTCTAAGGTTAGATGGGGGGAGAGGCTAAGATGCCCCCAACATGGAACAGACAGGCTCTGCAAGCAGTGGGGTGGCTGTCGATACAGACCCACTCTACAAAGAACCAGAGCAACCATGCCCCTGCAACTCCAGTCCTATGGGGAAAGGAATGAGGAGACTGGCATGCGGGTGAGAAGCCGTGTCTACCTTGGATGGAGCCAGCCAGTGCTGGGGACACGGGGACGACTCAGTGTGAGGGCCTGAGTCCTGGTGAGAAATGCAAACTGGTGGTCCCACCTCCAAGGCCCACTGAAAAGCCAGTCACCCTTTGCAGGTGCCCAGAGCTCAGAGTCTGAGCTGTAACAGCCCCTCCGTTGTTTATGCCCAAGAAAGGAGGCAGGGCAGGAGACGCAACAGAGTTTGGAGAGGTCATGTGATCTCCCTGGGCCGAGAGGGCTGAGAACATCTTGCAGCACCCACGGGTGTTGGGATGGGAGCTAGGGGTGTGAACCTGGCTCTCCGCTTCTTCACCCGCCGCTCGTGCTCAGCCTCTTCATAGTAGAGCTCATTGTGGCTGGAGTCTCTGCGCCGAGCGGCCGCAGCGATCATAGCCCGGGACTGACCCGTGGCATTGTTGCTGGGCCCTGGAGGAGAAGGACAGTGGACAGAGAACAGTGTGAGTGAGGCTGGACCCACAGACAGCTCCCCTCGTGCTCTGTAATGCTGTGCAGTGGCATCCCATGGGTCTCTGCACACAGCCCCACAGTCACTCCCTGCTCTGTGCTCAGCGTGCTCAGAGCAGACAGTGTACACAGCAGACCCCAGTCTGACCAGCAGAAACGGAGACAGAGCTCAGAAGGCCACCAGGAAGGGGTGGCCTTAACATGACAGAGGGAGCGAGCGCTGAAGAGGGGACCTACCATCTGCTACATGAAGCTTCAGTTTGGCGATGAGGGCAGCTGGAAAACTGCATTTCAGCCGCCGGAAAATGAGAGAAAATGAGAAGAACAGGGAGAAAAAGGACAGAGAAAACAAAGCCAAGGGGCACCGAAACACGTATCACACGCAGGAAAACAGGCCACGTTGTGCCACACAGATATCCGCAGCCCTGACAGCCTGTCTCTGCACATGGACTCAGGAGTCATGTTTGCTCCCTGGCCACTGACCACCCAATGCTCCAGAAGGAAAAGGCAGACCTCGGGCTTTCTCAGGCATCACCTATTTGTTCAATGACTTAGTTTTGCTAATGGGAGTTTTCTTGAGTTTGCAGTGCACGGGTGCAATTTATCTGTTCTACCAAACTCCAGCTCTCAAACTCGGGGTTAGGGGGGCTAGCTGGAGAGAGTACAGTGGGCAGGGCACTTGGCTTACACGCAGCCAACCTGAATTTGATCCCCGGCATCCCATATGATCCCCCAAGTCCCACCACAAGTAACTGCTGAGCGCAGAGCCAGGAGTAACGCCTGAGCAACACCTGGTTTAGCTCCAAAACAAAAAACAAAATGAACAAACCAATTGGGGTGGGTTGGGGAGCAGAACAGCACCGACTGAGACCACTAATCAACCACCTGGCTTGCAAACAACACGATCCTCCTTGAGGATCCACAAAGTTCTTGGCGTGACCCTGAGCGCTCTATAAGGAGTGACCTTGTGTCCTGTTTCTTACGTGTTACTATCTGATCCCCCAGTCCAGCCTCTGGCCTGCTCACTCAAAGGAGCCCAGCTTCTTGCCAGGACTAGAACACCATGTCTCTTGTCAGATGCCTGAGCTTTAAGGGCCAGAGTTTCCATCTCTGGGTGGTTTATTCACATGCTGAAAAGCAGATCCCTTTGCACATCATTTGCTTCAGTAGAAAATATTCATAGCAGGAGGCAGGAAATGCAGAGCCTCTAGTTTTCTGTCATAAAATCCCGCATATGAAGGAAACTCCCACAGATGTGAACTGGTAATCAGTGACCCCTGAAAATGCCTGTGTGCAAAAAATAAGCCGCAGAAAAAGACATCGTTCTGAAAGGAGAAGGCCATAAAGAACCCTGCTGGGCAGGTAAAACCAAACAGACCACCAAGTCTCAGTGAAGGATGCCTAACTGCCTCAGGCCCACCCCACAGACCCGCATCAGACACATACCATCAACATTGTAGACCTTCAGACCCGCCATGTGCTTGGCCGCTCGAAATTTTGACGCTGTTAGGAGGTTGGGGTTATAGATGGTGAAATCTTTATAGTAATTTTCCAGAACCACCAATGCTGCTCGCTGAATACTGGGGGGGAAGAAAGGGCAAAATTAATGCCAAAGCTTTTTCATTGAGTAATGAGGCCTCTGGGGAACAAAACCCCCTTGTGGGATCAAGTCAAACAACAGAACACCAAGCACAAGTGCCTAGAGGAAGACACTGAGGGACGCCACACCTCAGTCTCCAGGATGAGAATTGATTTATTGACTGATTGATTCAGACCACAACTGGCAATGCTCAGGGATCACTCCTGGATGGCTTGAGGTACTATATAGAATGCTGGGGATCAAACCCAGGTCAGCCACATGTAAGGCAATGCCCTGCCTGCTGTACATACTATCTCTCCAGCCGATTTTGAAGACGCCTCATTTATAAGAAAGGAAACTGAGAATCCCACAAAGATCAAGAGGTGGAGTGATGCTCTTGATCTCAGATGCTCCACCTCAACGACTTCAGTGGAATACACATTGGGATCTGTTTTCCAAGGAGCAGAACTTGCCCCCTGGGTGCAGAGCAACTAGAGAGGCGGCTACAGACTAGATTCTTCCCCTCCCCACTCCTGGCTGTGGGGTGCAGTGGGCAGCTGCCACTCCTCTACCTGAAGCACGGAGCACTATGTGGCCCCCACCAGACCCCACTCTCTGCACCCTCCTTACACAGCTGTCTAAGGTCCTTGGTGCCCTATGGCCTTTCAACTTTAATCTTTGGCTGGCGTGGTCCCTGAGTGAGGAGAAGAGAGAACTCCTGCAGGCAGGGGCGAGTGGAGAGAGGGTGCCCAGACTCGCTCCTGGCAGCGAAAGAGCTCATACTTGATCTCAGACACAGCCGCCCCCATGCTGAAGAGTGACTTGCTAACAGCCTGGCGATGTGCATTTCACAGACCTCATCCTGTCTTACCACAACACACAGCTGCCCTACAGTGCAGATGGTGATCCACCCACGCTGTCCATCCCCCAAATGCGGAGGGTGTTTCCAGTGAGGGGTGGCTTGTGGGGACACAGCCGTCCCCCACCAGCAGTGTGCTGACTCTGACCACTAGTGTAGCTCATCTTTGGTCATTTTCTCCCTAACTCCCTGCTCAGCTGTTCAGACACCTACAAGGGCGACTGACAACTGCCCAGCACCAGAACGGGATACCCATTTGGGAGGCCCATGCTGCACTCCGAGTTCTCTGGGATACAGGGATCTCCACTGCACACCCCAATTCCTTCTGCTCACATTTTATAATCCACCCTGCAGCTTCCCTTCAGCTCTGGAGAGTAAATCAGAGTCCAAACACCATCTGGAGTCAATCAGCAAACCTCCTGACGTGCAGTCATGACCACGCTTTCTTCCATGTCTGTCACTGCACCTTGCGCAGGGATCTGGGGACCTGCCTTCAGCTGGTGCATCTTAGCTGTGCTCACTCTCCTGAGGCTAGGGCACCGGTGAGACCAACAAGTGTAAAGCAGCCCATGAGGGCTCAGAGCAAACTCGCCTTTTGGAAGCCCTAGTCATAAGGTTGCTCATTTCTTCAGTTCACTCTACTAAAGTTCTACGCCTGTGAATGCAGAGGTTCAATAGAAGAGCTTCTCCCTAGCCAGGAGTCCATGGAATGGCAGGGCTGGGAGCGGGAATGCATGTGCAGAGGGAAGCTTCTGACTCCTTGGAGGGTGCAAGAGTAGTATAGCCCTGCAACAGTAACTCTGCTCCAACGTGAGTTTTCAAGTTTGTTTTGGTTTTGGGTCACACTGGGCAGTGCTCACCCCTGGCTCTGCACTCAGAGATCACTCCTGAAGGGCTCAGAGGACCATATGGCTGTCAGGGATAGAACTTGGGTCAGCCACACACACACAACGTCCTGCCTCTCTACCACCTCCAACCCCCCCAACTGAAGTTCTGTGTCACCTTCTCAGTTTCTGCTTAAAGCCTTGCCTGGTGGGTCCAGTTTAGCACAAATTCATCACCTCCTGGCACCTCTGTCTGTGGTATCTTCTACGGGGGAGGGTGGGAAGCATTTCTTCACCTCCCACTCCACCTAGAGATTCTCACTATTTCTCCATGCCAACACAACACAAACAACCTCAGCCACCCACTGCTCTGCTCCTTTCCAGAGAGCCTCTGGGCTTCAGGGAGGTACAGAACCCCTCAGATACCTGCACGGGTAGAGGTGCCAACTACTTTACACTCCACTTCAAGGCTGACGTGGAAATAGCTCCAGGCACCTGGATTTCAGCAGGATTCCCTGCCCCGCCCTTCCTCCCCCCAATCAACATGAAAAGATTAAAGGGCGACTCTGAAGTTATTCTCAGGCCCATCTTCAAAGCTTACCCTCTTGTGGCAGCTGGCTCTGCTGGCTTTGGTTTTCCTGTTCAGTCTGGGGAGTCATAGGCCTGCACTGTGGGCAAGGGCCAGCTGGATGGAGCTGGTAGTCCCAAGCAGATGGACAGGGCTACCTGGAGGAGCGGCAGCTGCCCACGCCCGCCTGCAAGAGGCTTCTCCTCCACAGGCTCACAGCCTGCCCTTTCAACACGCCCTCTCAGGGCTTTCTAGACTGGACAGGTCTAGGAGCTCCACATCCAGCTGGCAGCCCCAAGGGGTTGGGCAAGTAACAGGACAAACCCTTCATGTTCCCTATGTAGACCTCATTAGCCTCCAGAACTTGAGACCCTGGCCCAGAAACACTAAACAAGATATCTTTCCCTCCAGCTTGAGCCTCTCAACGGAACCACCGGAATGTGCCAAAGCCAGTACTGGACCTGGTCAGCACCCCAGGCTGACAAGAGAACATGGCTGCTGGAGGCTCTTGGGATGAGCATGATGAAGACCCCTGAGCACGACACAGGCCTCTGAGCACGACAAAAGCCTCTGAGCATGATGAAGACCCCTGAGCATGACACAGGCCTCTGAGTATGACAAAGACTTCTGTGTATTCACAGAGAAACACCCACCCGACTCTCAGAAATAAAAAAAGACTCTGTGGCAAGAGGGCATCTGCAATGTCTGGGAACAAAATAAGATACACAGGGATCAGTCCTGGCAGTGCTCAGGGGACCTTATAGGATGCCAGGATCGAACTCAGGTTGGCTGCAAGCAAGGCAGATGTTCTATCACTTGTACTATCACTCCAGCCCATGTACTTAGATTTTTTAAAAATCATTTTTTATTAAAACACTGTGATTTACAAAGTTAGTCATAATACAATTGCTTCAGACATTTAGCATTCCAACACCACCCAGTGTGACCTTCCCACACTGGGGACCCTGAATAACCTCTGAGCACTGTTGGGTGTGTCTTTCAAACAAAAATAAATCAAACACATATGATGTCAAAATAGAATTATCAAATCTTTACGTGGAAAAGCATAAGGGAAAAGAAGTTGGTAAATTAAAGAACGACAAATAAAAATAATAAAAAATGTATAGAAGACTAAAAATATACATTTTACTTATACATTTTGCAGGTTTGAATTTTAAAGAAAGAAATATTTTATAGGTTATACCACCCAATTGTAGCAAGTCAAAAGTGATTAGAAAGTTAAAAGACTGAATAGAACACCCTGGTTAAGAAATATGCAGATTGAGAAATACGCAGCTTTTAAATTGAAAATGCTCAGAAATGTTGTCTTAGCTGACTGAAATTGCTAATCAAGGTAAAAGATGTATGATTCAAGCAATTACCAGATTAAATATAGTTTCTTATTTTCAAGACACACAATGTACCTTTTGGAATACTTAAGCACACACACACACACACACACACACACACACACACACACACACACCCCTAAAGTGCCCTGATTAAAAAGGAAAAATTCTGTGAGTTGAGTTAGAATCCAAAATGCCATTCTCCACCTTTTATTATTATTGTTACTACTACTATTATCATCTTGGTTGTGGGGTCATTACCATGGCACTGTTCAGGGGTTATTGCTGGCTCTGTGCTCAGGGGATCAGGTTGTACTAGGTATCAAATCAGGGTCGGCTGTATGCCAGGCACATCGCTTACCTTCTGCTTTGTATTTCTTGAACTCTCCACCTTTCCAAGTAGAGGAACCCTACGTCAGTCCCACCGAAGGGTCACCACGCATGTTCATTACTGAGCTGCATCGCTCACGTGTGGGGCAGAGGATGTCAAGGCCAGAAGGACTGAAGCCGCTTCTCCTCAGCCCTGCGCACTGCAAAGACTGAGCACTCACGGCTGTCTTCCCGCTTCTTCCACATGTCCCCCTACAAGTAACTACCGGAGGTGCCCTGATCACTGTCAGTCTACCTGCCACTGGCAGTCATCTTCTGACTGTCACAAAACATGGGTATAAAGAGAGAAAATGGACTTTGAGAGACTCCAGTAAGTTGCTGGCTCCGGCCAGGGATATCCAGGGTGGTACATATGATGATTCTTCTGATCCAAGGTTGACAGTCATTTCATGGCTGGTTGGGGACCAAGTCTGTCAGAGAACTGACTTGAAGGCCAGGAACATCCTAGTAAATTCTAGAAGCTTCCTGTGGAAGGAAGTATGATTCGCTGAGGGGACACTCTGCAGGCCATAGGCACTGCCTCTGTCACAACTCCCCAGGGTAGGGCCAGAGGAACACCATTTTCCCTGGCCAAGCTCACTGCTTAGAATCTTCTTACCCTATCCTTGGCAACCTCTAACGAGAGTCTCTACAAGGCCACCGTGGACTGATTCTCTTAAGAAAGCCTTTTCCAACTCTGATCCCAAAGGTCTGCCCTTAAACAAGCATCCCGGGTTGCTACCCTGTGGGGCTGCAATCTCCAGGGTTCCTGGTGCTGGGCTCACTCTGCAGCTGGCCTATGAAAATCCCTCAAGCACCCCAAAACCAGGACATCTCCTTTGACTCCAGACACTTTGTTGGCTCAACTTGCTCACATAGGGAGCCCTTGAGTTCCCATGGTAAGATCAGCAGTGACAGTGAACTTCGTAAAGTATACGATTTCAGAAGCAAAAAGAGATGTACAAAAGCAAACTGTCCAATTAGTCTAGTCTCCAGACTCGATCATCTCTGGGAGACGAGACTGATAAGAAA